TGACTATAGCAAACCTGATTAACGTATACATTCATTCTATTATTTTACTTTTTATTATTGTAAACCGCTAGACCGGATATGATGGACCACTTCAACATTCTCTACAGGTAAATAATCATCTTTAAAAGTCCAGTATCTTATCTTTAATTTTTATTTATATCTTCCAGTATATATATAATATATACGACTTTCAGCGTCTCGATCTCGACGTCGAATCGACACACGTCCATATATAACATAGAAAGTTTTTATTGTGTACATACATTTATAGTTTACATTATGGTAATGGAAGCTTATGTCGTTTACAAACTATTCTTTTTTTCTTTTTTTCTCTCCCATACTTGTACGTTGTTCACGATGAATGCGTTCAATTACGTTTTCCTTTGTTTTTCCTTCTTTTCATTCTTTATCGTTTCTTTTCTTTTTGTTTTTTACGTAGGACGTACGAGGTATCGTAGATCGTTTCGTTTCACAACAAGAGATAGAAATAAACGACAGAAAACACGTTCCAGACGGGAAACACACGTGATTCCTAATTTTTTGGTTACATTTTCGAAGGAATGCGATCGAATCAAAAGGACTTGTTGTTTGTTCGGTAGCTGCCTTCGAACGAATACGCAGGGCCTCGAAATAAAGAATATATATATATATTTATATTAAGAATATATAATATATATACATATATTATAGAGTTTCGAGAGTTTCTATAGATCTATCACTTTTTTCAATTATCGTTGATCAAAGCTGGATGTGAGTGTAGCTAATCTTAGGCACTACCAGTGTATCACGTTGCATGATGTTTTTTCGTTGACTGTGGGAGGAAAGCGTAAACGAATACATTATTTTTCCAAGGATTGCTCTTAGAATGCTCTCCTGATGTCTATATTACACGTTCTCCTTGATAAAGATGCCCACTGTCCGCAAACAGATCTGATTATCTATCGATGATGCATGCGTGTGAGAGTTCGAGAGGTCACCGTGTGACTGTCCGACGTTTCCATCGTAAATTGCACCAGTAATCAGCTTTACACATTCAATGTATCTTACTTACTTACCTACTCACTCACTCACTCACTCACTCACTCACTCACTCACTCACTCACTCACTCACTCACTCACTCCCTTACTTACGTTCTGTGTCTGTGTTCGATCGGTTTCTGAACGGAGTGTTGAACGTTTGAATCGATACTTCTCTCGAATCTCCTCTGCGATTCTTCTCTGTCACTTGTTTAGAATAATGTACGGGGAAACATGGGTTCCCCGTGTCTGTGTTCACAAAGGAATAAGGAATCAGGTGTATGTCTATTATTGTTTCACCACCATCGCTAGAAAAAGTGTACTTGTTTCGTTTGTACGTATATTGTTCTGTATTTGGGGATCGTGCACTTTTGTTTCGAGGAACGGTGATTCACGGATCGATTATATTTATTTGTCTCTGCTGTTTGTGTATTCTATTGTTACGTGGAATCGATGAATTTGTATATATGTACATCTGTATTCTGTTCTGCATCTCTTTGTTTAATATCTAGTCTATCTATTTATCGGTTCGTGAAATGCATTGTTGGTTTTTGAAAAAGTATGTTGATTATTGAGTTATATATTGAATCGAATATGAAAGTTTTAAGATTGGGAATATTTGTTAGTCATTAAATTTCTAAGCATGTGGAGATCCGTGAATCGCGGTTCGAAAAAATGAGTTGCTATTGTAAATGTGATTAACGGAAGATTGTATATTATTAATATTCAATTATTGATATTCAATTGAACACGTTTGCAATGGCGAGTTTATTTCATCCTTTCGCGACTCTACTTCTTTGGAATTTTGAGACGCATCGACTCGAAGTTTTTTATCTGCCAGGGTGTAACGCCTTGTTTTCACTAACACGTGCACGATTTTGTTGTAGCTACATGAATATTTTTATTTCGTTTATGTAACACGCGCGAATGGAGTGCAATGCCTAGTTTGTGGATTTCATCAGGAAATACGATTAACTTGTATCATTATTTATCTAATGAATAATATTCTTTGCTTTTATATTGTTCATATTTCCAAGTGTTGATACACTTGTCATTCGTACCAATGAAATCTGCAATCTAGAACCAGAGTCGGGATAATTATTCGAATAAATACAGAATACAGTTAACCATTCGACTAAAATAATTACTCGATTAAAGTATTTAATCAAACATTCTATCTGGATAATTCGAATATCTTCCCACTCTGTTACCAACATGTTAACCCTTTGTCTTGTAATCTTTCGAATCGTTTCATTCTGAATAATTCGAAATCAGGAAATCCGTTCTACTAATTAACATGAAGTCGATTTTCCAATCCAATCTGTACCAACTGTCTCAATATTTTAGGACAAAGGGTTAATGAATAACAAGAAGATTTATTTATCTATAGCAAGTCCAGGACATAGCCAATAATATTTTTAAATATACCGAAGCGTCATGAAACTAATTGAAATTGCTTGAAGGAATCAATTTAAATCAAACAAATGAATCAATAATGTTTAAAATATTAATTACACTTGACTATAGAATCATATTAAAAAATTATACAATTATACTTCACGTGAACATGGCTGATTTATCCCGGACTTCCCTATAGATCTTCCAAGAAAACTTAGGGTACGTTTCCAGCAGAGCTGCGACGGAAGCTAAGATAACTTCGATCAGAGCGACGACGAAATTGATAATGGAACTGAGCAAAATAATGGAAGTCGCAAAAAAATTGCTATTGATGAGTACAATTATACATAACCAATCAAAGCTATACACAAGTATCTCTTATTAGCCCTTTCTAAATGGATTCTTTTAAGAAAATAAAAGAGGTCTGCACATATTCAATGCTTCAACACTTCAATCAAACGAAAAAGATTAATTTTCTTTACTTCACTGCAAAGTTACAGCCTGACACGTATTTAGCATCTACGTTTACTCAATTAGAACACGCCCCAACAGTCTTGAAAGAGTTAAGCACCAAGTGATCAACAATTCTCTCATCGCTCTGGTCAAGTGTCGCAAGTCTGCTGTACCCTCAACCCTTCGCGGACGAAGATACTTCGAAACATGCAAAACCTTCAGTAAACGAAGCTAAATCATATATCAATCGCTTGAAAACAGAAAGAAAGGGAACTACAAATAGATCATTTCTTTAGGATTTAGTATTCCAAACATGAAAGTTTGCTTTCCTCGAAGCGTCGACATTCGTTCGCAAAGGATTACAACCCCCATACATTGAAACTCGCGGCGAATAAATCAAATACGTGATGTCATAGTACATCGCTTCCCTCTGTATAAGTTACAAAGAGTTTGCTTTGTTCGAGTTACAAGAGATTTGCCAAGTTCCTCAAATCACAACTAGAACAGAATGAAAATCAAACGACCAAGCTTCCCAGTACTCAAGGTACAAGCGACTACTTCCACCCTCTCCATCTCCACAAAAACCTGAGAACACAAACCTCTCTCCCAAGATCGCCGCGCGTTTCAATATAAACTAGACTCCGCTAGAGCGAAGAGATCATCGAACGAATAGCAGCTAGCCCCACTGATATACCCACGTCGCCGCGAATGCTTTCAGAAACCTCTGGTCCGACAGCCGGAGGACACGATGTCGGTGGATAGGATGCAGCCATGCGAGCTACACACGCAAACGCGAACAAAAAACTGCTGCAGGTCGTGGCTATCCAAGTTCCCGACGAAGTCCAAGCGCATCGACGTCATATCGCGAATCTTCTTCCCCATCGTCTTCGCTTTTTTCAACCTAACATACTGGTCGACCTACCTGTTTCGTCAGGAGGCGGAAGGCGAGTAAACGTCGACGAGGAAGCGCTCGGATCGAGGAACGTGGCTCGCGGCCATTCCCTTCATTACCACACGACAACCACCACCACCACCACGAACGCCAGATCGAACGCCACCACGGCAACCATGGCGATCACCAAATCGTCGCCGCATCGTTTGCGCCATCATCATCACCGGCACCGTCAGCAATACCATTACAGGCAGCAGCATCATCATTTCCATCCGCGGAGCATACCGCAGCCCCGGCAGGATGAGGACGAGGAGGACGACGAGGACGATGAGGAGGACGAGCAACGCCAACAGCTCGATCACCATCTACACCATCATCATCATCATCACCATCAGACACTCCAACCACACCACGTCTCTTTGCTGCGAAATACGCAGCCAAGGGATCGCGGCTCGCCGTGGAGCCAGCGGCACTCGTGCAAAAGCTCCGTCAGATCGTCGCCGTCGTCGTCACCGTCCCCGTCGCCGTCCCCGTCGCCGACACCGTCGCCGACCACGTCTCGCAGGGCGACGCCGTCGCCGCCAGCGACCGCGCCGCGCGCCGCGCCCACGCAGTCCCGGTTCGCCAAGGGCAGCGCAAGGATCGACATCATCGCGCGCATCGCGTTCCCACTCACGTTCGTCGTGTTCAACGTCGGATACTGGTTCATCTATCTGATGCGCGAGGACTGGCCTAACCAGCCGTCGTAGACGTGAGGATTGACGGGCGGAGAGGTGATCTACCGCGGATCGAACGGGCGAGCGGATTGAATTCTTTTTTAGGAGATATTTATTGAAGTTGATGATTTTGTTGGTTGTACTTTGAATCGAGAGTTTGGATTGATAGAAAGTTTGAGGATATTTGGAGAGTAGGGGATGTTTGTTGCAGTTTGGAGATGTTTGTGGGTAGTTTTGACATCGGTTTGAATTTTTATTGTTGAGCTCTTTGGGTATAGGAAATAATCGTTGTGAGTATTGGAAGATCAAAATTGATTGAAATTAATTGAAATTGATAAATATTTGGAACCATAAATTACCATGATTAATATGGACTGGGAAGTTAAAGAAATATTTATTGAAGCATTTTATTATGAAACAATTATTCTTATCAGTCCTATGAGTTCTTTGTATATCTTTCTAAAATGAACAATCGTTGTGAAGAATATTGAAGGATAAAATTGTAGATACGGTAATATGTCCACAGAGAAAAAAGAAATCGATAAACATTGAAAATTCTAAATGATCAGGATTGTTTCGAAATGGGGAACATTAATATCCGCTCGCTCATCGGTCTGCTGGCTCGTTCGTCTCGTCGATCGCCGCGCATTTGTCAACTGAGAGGTAAACTCTGCGACCGAAGTCAACTCCTCCGAGCTCGAGTCTAACTTCGAGGTCGCTCGTCTTGGACGAGCCGTGTTCCTCTCGTCGACGATGCTTCGTCGACGCGATTGCGAAGGAGAGAATACAAGATCGTCAGGAAGCGTTTAACGTTTCGTGGACGTCTCGAGGAACACGGTCCGCCATTGTATTATACAGAGATGAGAAGTTGGTTCACCTGCAAGTTGGAACAGTACAGAAATCGTCTGTAGATCGTGCTAGATCGAGTAGCCATAGCAACTAGGCGACTATTTCAAAGTAAAATTATTATGAGTTACTCTAGAAAGCATCTCTCATGGGTGAGAAATGATTTCTCGCTGTAAACGCAGTCTCCAGTTGCGAGAAATGCTGTCAAGGGTAATTAGTGATAGCTTCACTCTCAAATAGACTAGCTTGATATCTGTTCCAGCACGTTATTGACAGAATTTCAAATTAAAGAATATAAACAAAATAAGATCAGACGAAATAAGATAGGGAATTATTGAAATGAAAGATTACATTGAGATTCGATTGATGTTTTGTTAATTTATGCAGATGCTTTTCCAAGTGAGTGTCGATCTTTGCTACTTCTACTTCGAAAGCTGCACGAGTTCTCATGGATTAATTAATTCTCTTACCATGAGCTACTTAGCTACCACTACTTACATTTCTATATATGTGTGTTCGTAATGGTACTAAGCTGATTATAGTATTCGTTCAGTGATTGAAAGAGAAAAGTATGATAAAGACAGATGTGCTACTTGAAAGGAAGAGCCTCAAACTGGTAGCCTTCGAGTTATCAGTTGGACACCTCTGATTTGAAATTTCTAGTAATTGTTTAATAGTATATCAGCATGTATTAGAATATCATTATTATATTATTGAATAATGTAACTTAAGAATATAATGATAATATTCTAGGCTACAGTACTTCATGCTAGGAGTCTTCAGAGGAGACTATTATCGTTTCGATTGTTCTGGTTTTAGCTTGCAGGTAGACAGCTGATTTCTCGTCGATGTATAATACACGCTAGCGTCGCGCAAGAGTTCGCGTTAAGGGGTAGGAGCTCGCGCGTGCCGTAGGTGTACCACGACGTGTAGACTTATGGTGCGTTTACACTGAACGAACGAATTTAAAAACATGTCTAATCGATACGAATACAAGAGTCGGATAGGAGTATCAAGCTAAATATCTGTTGAACATGTTTGTACAGTTCACATTTGTTTTCAAAATTGAACGAGTTAAGTGAATTCGGTGAATTCTACTTTACGGTGAATTAATGAAATGTCAACTATGACTAAATTTCAGTGAACTCAATTATGCTGTGGACGATAGAAACTTTCATAATTACCTTCAAGAAGTATTCTAAAGCTAATAATATACAGTAACTTGATTGCAATTGATAATTAAACGTCCATAAGCGACGGTAGACTAAAATTTTCAAAACAATAGCGAAACAGTTAGATGTTAATTATAACTCGTTCGAAATTCAATTGAATCTCTTCGATTTCTAATGCTCGGGAACCGAGGAAATCGAATTTCCGAGATGAAAACGAGGAAATCATTCGTTCCTTCGATCTAAACGCGCCATCGACGATAATCCGTGCCTGAAGTTCGACGATGACCATTCGAAGACCAAAACGGAACGCGCAACGAAGTAACAACGCTCGGTACGGTAGCACACATAGTTGACGAATCTATACAAAGTAAAACTAGTCGAGCAGCGAAACCTGGAGCGGGGCGATAAAGCGACGAACGACGACGGTAAACGTGGAAAAAGCAAACGGCGAAATGCAAGAACAAAAAAGCAAACAAACAAACAAAACAAACAAACAAACAAACAAACAAACAAACAAACGGTACATAAGCGATCTCTCTTGTATCTGCGAGCACGTAAACACACAGTAT